ATGTCAAAATATACAAAATAAATCGCCATAAATCAACAAAGGGAATCATTGGAGTATGCTCCAAAGAGACATTTTTTGAAAATTGTAACCAGAGTTATATACGCAGAGACTGTTTATGAGTTGCTGAGCAAATAAATTATTACATGCAAGACACATCAAAGAAAAAAGATAAAAGCCAGGATTGGAAATGGGGACAGGAAGGCAGATTAGATGGGCCTGCATACTTACGGAGAGAGGAACACATTTCTAAAAAATTACAGAATGCTTAAATAAATTAGAATTCTTATTATCCAAAAATTGCAAACAGCAGGGTTTCACTGATTTTATGAAGAAAATTAAAGAAAAACGAGACCCTCTTGCACCACTAGTTGCTCAAACTCTTTAGGATGTCAACATCAGTAAAATTACCAGTTTTGAGAATCAGCATAAAGTGTGGTATTTGCATGGTAAGATGTTTTTGAAATAAGACTTCATGCTCTTCAAAAATATTTAAAAAATAAAACAAGGATATCTAACATTAAGGACGTGACCAGAGAAATTCTAGGAATGCACGGCAGCTTACATTATATGGCATCAACCACATTGAATATTAAAATTTACTTTACAGCAAAATTTGGCAAAGGCATACCACTAACTAACTAGGATGCCACAAAAGCTTCCAATATACTGGGATCTCCTTTACTCAAGTTCACATGGAATTTTAAGATAGCCTGAATTGATCTGTCGCATTTAGCAAGAGCCTGGTAAGCTTCAGGAGGGGGTTGGTTTTCTCTTTATAATGTCAGGCAATTAACTTAGGGCAGGTCTACACTTAAAAAGCTGCACCAGTGCAGCTGCGCCATTCTAGTGCTTCAGTGAAGATGCTACTGCACTGATAGGAGAGCTTCTCCTGTCAGTGCAGTAAATCCACCTGCACGAGATGCGGTATCTATGTCAACAGGAGAAGGTCTACATCGGTGTTAGGTTGGTATAACTACATCACTCAGGTATGAAATCGATGTAAGTTTGTAGCTGTAGTGGCTCCAATCTCTGTCAGGTAAAATACATAGCAGTAACAACAACTTAACTAAATGGATTTAAGAACTCATGCAACTATTATGGAGAACATCGGCTAACTTGCAAAAATGGACAGACACTTGGATTGTTTAGCCCTTTTCCATCCTATAGACTTCTCATCTAATAAAAGGTCTCAAATCATAGACTATCACTGTTGAGTCAGATGTTAAAATTATAGCTATAATCATGTCAAATTACCTCAGTTAAGGCTCCTATTTTTCCAAGTTTAATTGTTTTCTTGTCCATTTTATGCCCAAATTTATTTCCAACTCACAAATTTTATGAACTGTAACACTGAATCTTGAAATAAAGAATATAAGCAACTACAAAAAAGTCAGAGAAGACTACAATATTTCCAGCTGCTTCTCTTGCTATTTTCATATATGCCAGACATCTTTATTTTCCTTCTTGAAAAAGCATAATATTTCATTTCTAATCTGTCCCTCTAAATTTATCTCCTGGTCTCAGCATTAGGAGTGAAAAGTTGTGTTCCCATTTTATCCCGAATATTTTTTAAAATAGCTTTTACAGAAGGTACTAAAACGTATAATAGGGAATAAGCCAAGGCCAAAGGTCTTTTCCATGTCTAACATCTTTAATTTTATGAAATATTTGCTAGTACGTCATTTCCTATCATAGGAACATTTATCCTATATCACCACATATCCATGTCTGATGCGCAAGACAATTCAAGACCCATAGGGCCCTATTATTCTCTCAAAAGAAACAAAATAACTCCCAATGAAGTAAAGGTAGCAAGAGAAAAAGGAAACAACTATGCCCCAGTTGATTGGCTCTAAGATTTTCATTACTAATTTTCTGAATTACATCTGTTAAAATTAAACATGCAGCTCCACTCACTGTTTCAGAACTGGAACATTTTATGCTACCAGCCCCTTCACTGGAGTTAGCAAAATATTAAGTGGAATATTGTATAACAAATACAAAAGTGTATTTTAAAATCACTTTAAAAAGGCTGCATAACCTTATTACATTTCAGTTTAAAATACCGTCCCTCCAAGTTCTGAAAGGAAATCTTGTCATTACCCACAACCAGTGAAGCATATGACATCTTCAAGTCCTGTATTTCTATATGGAATTAAAGTAATGGGAAGTACTGATACCTCTGGTGGGGATGGATAGAATAGCTACCATAGATATGAAAAATAATCACGTATTGAATTAAGATTAGACAGGTTTCTGGAGACACTGGACATAACAGCTGAAGAAAGATTAGCCACATCATGCTTTACAGACTAATGGCTGGCTAATTATACATAAATTGCATCACCTATGAACCAAGGGGCTTGTCTGCACTACCGCACGGGGTCGATCTAAGATACGCAACTTCAGCTTCGTGAATAGCATGGCTGAAGTCGACGTACTTAGATCTACTTACCGCGGTGTCTTCACTGCTGTAAATCGACAGCTGACGCTCTCCTGTTGACTCCGTTTGCACGTCTCGTTCTGATGGAGAACAGGAGTTGACAGGAGAGCACTCAGAGGTCGATTTCTCATGTCTATACTAGACACGATAAATTGACCCCTGCTGGATCGATCGCTGCCCGCTGATCCTGCAGGTAGTGTAGACAAACACTTTGATTCCTAATGGAGGCTCTGGTAATTCTTTCTTCATAATTTCCAACCTCCTCAAAGCATAATGAAAATTCTGTGGACTGAACTGTGCTAAAATGACAAGATTAGAAGTGAGAGTAAAGAGCAATAAAACAGGAAACCTGATTATTGGCCATGACCAGTGTCATGTTTACAACTTGCAAGACAGTGAAATGAAATTCTTACAAGGTCACGTTGGAGGGAGAGGGAAAGGTGATCTTGGCAGGCCACAGCAAGGCAGCTATCATTCTCTCTTACTGAATATTATAAAATTGTATACTTATGCCCTGTCTTACATCCACATATATATTAAACCATGTTAAACCAAATGCAACTATCCTTTCAATTGAGGATGGCAGCCAGCAGGTGGAGAACATCAAGAGTGCATAACAAAGGCAAGATGATATTTCTGACCAAAGGCACTGGGGATTATTCAAAGTTTTATTAAAAGCATTCACGACATCTGTCTATTCATGAAGGGCAGAGGGAAATTGTTTTTTATGATCTCCAATAAAAGAGCCACACATAGTAAACTGAAAAGGAGTACTTGTGGCACCTTAGAGACTAACAAATTTATCTGAGCATAAGCTTTCGTGAGCTACAGCTCACTTCATCGGATGCAAGCAGTGGAAAATACAGTGAGGAGATTTATATACACAGAGAACATGAAACAATGGGTGTTACCATACACACTGTAACAAGAGTGATCAGGTAAGGTGAGGTATTACCGGCAGGAAAGCGGGGGGGGGGGGGAGAAAAACCTTTTGTAGTAAGGTGCCACAAGTACTCCTTTTCTTTTTGCGGATACAGACTAACAAGGCTGCTATTCTGACACAGTAAACTGCATGGGATGTGGAATGAATCCCAACAACACTACTGCAAAATAAGTATTTTAGGAATAGGAAAAACGAGGCATAGATATATTAATTGACTTGCCTAAAGGATGCCAGTGACAGAGCTGGGAACAGAACCTTAACATCTGACTCCCAGTAAATCATATTCCCATATCACTTACGTAACCCACAATATATGCTAAGATTTAAAATGTATATATGTATTCATACATTTTAAATCTTTTCAAATGTCTCTTCTGAGGGTGGGGTGAAGGAGCTGTGATATTACTTCATTCATTCATATTTGTACTATATTAAGCAAAACAGTTCAAATGTATAAAAACATAGTTGTAGTCAGAAAAGTTCGTACACAAAATTATGCCTTTGCAGTCAGCAGATCTGTTCTGTGTCTGCGTTCTAAATGACATTCAAGGCCCCATGTATTTTGTGGCTATGGTAGATACTCATCCATCCTTCAGCACACATTGTCTTCCAGAATTTAAGCTTTCATTTACAAAATAATGCCTCTAATACAAAAAGAACCTTAAAACTATAACCCAAATGTTAATCAAAATAGTATTGACTTCCTGAGCCTGCAGATAGTCTGAAAGGGTAACTCAGAGGAGCATTATGTCATTTGGTGGATTGTTAGCCCTGAAACGTGAAGATTAACAACATAAACGTGAGCGTTTAACTATTTCACTACTCATCGTTTAACCTTAAACATATACCTAAGGTGTTTACCTCTATAGTTCCCACACGTGGTCCCACACAGCCCCAGCTGCTTAAAACGTCCAAGCCTACAGCTTCCCCAGTTAACTCCTATTATGGCGGCTGGTACAAAGACATGCGGGTCACTGAATAGCGTGAAACACCACAGTAACACGGGGGCTGCCCTAACGGCGACCGACTGTCACACTCCATCTGGAGCCTGTGGTCAGATGAAAGGGAAGCTACTGTGGCGCCTGCACGGCAGCACCCAGGTCCCTGCAGCAGGAGGCAGGACAGAGTAGGCGCCGCCTGCCCCGCGAGCACCAGGCGCTGCGAGCAACAATGCCAGCAGCGCGCGCCTGCTGCCGTTGGCGCCCGGGCCGGCGCAGCGGCGAGTTGAGCCGGAGCCCCGCCGCTCTGGCGCAGTATCGGCTGAGCGGAGCGCTCCTAACCGCCAGCGCAGCCGGCCGCGGGGAAGCACAACCACCGAGAAAGCGGCCTGCAGAGCCCGTCACAACGCGAAGGGCCGGGCCGGGCCGGGCTCAGTAACGGCCGGCCCCACGATGCCCACAGTGCCGACACCTCCGACGGCAGAGCCGAGCCACTACGCTCGAGAACTGCTCCGGGGGGGTCCCCTGGGATGTGCGCGCTCCAGGGCGGGGCTGAGCCCGGCTCGCGGCTCCGCGCGCACACGGTGGGAGGAGGGGAAGGAATAATGGAGGTCTCATCCCTTTCTCCCCCGCGGATCAGCACGAGAGAACACGGCTCGGCCCGAAAGAAACTCACATGAACCGGGGGAAGCCGGAACCGAGGTCACCGCCTCCGCCGCAGCGCCCAGAGGAGGCACGAGAGAAAGGACCCTTCAGGGCTGCCCTGAAAGGCGCCTGCCATTAAAATGGATTGTGCAACCGTAGCTCCCCAAATGAGCCATTTACAGCAGTTACATACCCTCCGCACAGAGCCCGCATCTGTACCTCACGTTACAAATAATTGCAGTTGCTAGGCATCCGCAGTGTCGCCCGCTTTCCCGGAAACCAGGGTCCTTCTCCTAGCGCCGGCGCTGAGTGGTGAGGTAAGAGACGCGAGGGCGGGCAGCCAGTTCGGCGGCACCTAGTCGCGCACAGAGGGGTGGGCCCTCGCGCTCGGGAGGCAGTGGCGTCCTCGTCAAGGGTCGGGGAGTTTCGGAGACACACGGCAATGATTGGAGTAGCAGCGGCGGCGCGAGGGCCCCTGTAGGTGGCTCGTGCCTCACGCCCAGCAGCTGTAGCAGGTACCCACCCTTGTGCCCTGTCTCGCCCAGCTCCGCTGCAGGGACTCGCTGCTCCCCGCGCGCCGTGCTCCCCGGGCGGGGAGGGTCCTTGCAGCCACTGCGCTGCTGGGCCCCGCGCGCCCTACCCCCAAGGGGTGTCCTTGCAGCCAGGCTCTGATGCGCCCTGTGCACCATATTCTAGTGCCCGTTCACCAAAGCTTTCCACCTTCTGATCCCTTTTTTTCCCCTTTCCCAAATTAAAATGAATACAATTATGTTCTTTGGAGAAAGAAAAGATGTATATGATTGTATCTAGCCTATCCTCTTCCTGGGAGCCAGTGCAGGATTCTTCCTTGCAGGATGTTGCTGTTTGTGCTTTTCAGACTGATGCCTTTAGAGCACTTCGGTATGCCCTCGCCCTCCCCCACGACAAATCTATCCGTCTTTCAAGAAGTGATTTTTCTTGCTAATTGCTTCAAGGACTGAAGAAATCCACCTGCTAGTGGTGAGGGGAAAACCATCTCGAGAGTGTGGAGGCCAGTGCATTAATTTTTGCAAAACTAATGAAAAGAAGTTTCAGGTCATTATCCTTTGGAAGATGTATGCACTTCATGGTAAGAAGGTTAAGCTTGTAGTGAGCTGCTTTCCTGAGTCTGCAGATAGAAAGCTACAGAGATTCTATTAAAAAGAATAGGAGTACTTGTGGCATCTTAGAGACTAACAAATTTATTTGAGCATAAGCTTTCATGAGCTACAGCTCAAATAAATTTGTTAGTCTCTAAGGTGCTACAAGTACTCCTTTTCTTTTTGTGGATACAGACTAACACAGCTGCTACTCTGAAACCAGAGACGCTATTGCCTTAGTAGCTTTGCCAAGTAGGTACAGAGTAAATTTACATGACTTCCTGTCACTTTCTCTTCTGCTTTTCAAAACCCTAGGAAGCACAGCGAAACTCATAAGACTCAGGTCAATTAATGCTGTTGCCTGGTAATATGAGAGCAAGGGCAGAGACGGAGTCCAACTATTTATGGGTGAGGATGACCCCAAAATGACCCCAGCTGGAGTAGAGGGGAGTTTGGGGAGTAGCAGTACTGGATCCCTAACTGCCAAGAAGAATGAAGGGGCAGAGAGCTACTTCCTTCCAGCAGTCTATAATGAGGGGAGAGGCATCAAATTTATCACCCAACTGTTACCTAAACCAAGATAGAGGCCCCCGATCGGGGTCTAGGGAAAACAATATTTCCATTGCCCATATTCTTGGGGTGAGACTGCCTTGTCACAATGTGTTGCCTTTGGCTATTCTGCTGGGCCTACTCTCAAATTCCTATCTGCTGCTAGCTAGTAGGAAACGGCTACGTGTATCATGTCCTCGACCAGTCTGAGACTTGCAAGCTTTCCAGCAGCAGTTCAACAAACTAATTAAAATAAATCTTCACCCTGGGAAGCTGCTTCATGTCTTTTATTCCCTGAATATTTGTGGATTGAGAAAGAGGCTTTTAATTTCAAAGATCATCTGGATAGCCAACAAACTTTTAAAAAGAGGAAGTACCATATATACTCGTTCATAAGCCGAATATTTTTGGTAAAAAAGTGACTCATCAAAGAGCGGGAGTCGGCTTATAAACGGGTCTACACCAAAATTTGATGATTTTAAGCTCTATGAAATCATTGAATTGAATATCTAATACATTGTCTTTTTGTTTACCTGGAGCGTCTGCAGATATGGAGCCCCTCAGTTCCCTGTGGCCGCGGTTTGCCATTCCCAGTTGTTCCCAGTCACTTCCTGCAGCTCCCATTGGCTGGGAATGCAAATGGCGGCCACTGGGAGCTGAGGGGCTCCATGTTTGCAAACGCTCCAGGTAAACAAAATGTCCTGACCCGCCAGCGGCTTACCCTGACGGGCTGGGAGCCAAAGTTTGCCAATCCCTGAAATATAGGGTCGGCTTATGAAAGGGTCATTCATTTTTACCATTTTTACTTGTCTATCTTGTGGGGGTCGGCTTATAAACAAACCAGCTTATGATCGAGTATATATGGTAAGCATATTTCAGCATACTTAAGTGCTATCACATTTTCATTCTCAAGAAAAATCTTTACAGTGACAAGTTCTTGGGCACATTCAGATTTCTGAAACTTTCGGTAAAAGCGATTTAATGAAGCAGTATTGTTTCCATTAAACTTTACACTTCATAATTCCATTTCAGTATATCTAACTAGTTTACAAGGGGGGGGGGGAATGTCAAGGTAGTAATTTTAAGTGTTCGTATGATGCATTTGACCACCAGAGCCCAATTCACTGTCTTTTATGTCCAAAGAGGCTCTTCTGTATCTCTTGTACTTTTAGAACATTATTGAAACTGAGTTTTGTCCAGCCTGTTAACTATTTTTGCATATTTTTACTATGAATACCATTTTAAATGAGTGCTTCCCAAACTGAGGCCTGTGGAGTGCTTGCTCATGGTCATTGATAGCTGGTTGATCACATGGTCTGGTTGTCCTTTCTTGCTTCCAGCTGCTAAATTTTAATATAGACAGTTAAAAATGCTTTTTCTTAATCTTGCTTTTTCTAAATTTGCAATTGCTGTAGTTACAGTGGGAATGTTATTGGGATTGGGAATGGAACAGAGGATGGTTCATAATACAATTTCTATTAAGTTATGGATTTGGTTAAAAGAATCAACTACATTAGACACGTTGTTTAGTTGCTCCTAGAATTGTTCCTTAACTATTTTTTAAATTATCACTTTAAAGGCAGGATTGTTTTAGTCTATTTTAATTCTAGAAAACTGCATGCTTTAAACAAGAAACAAAATACCTATATTTGCAAAATTTTGAAACTTATATTTGTATTTCCTTTTCCTATAATTAGAGGTGGACATTCAAGTCCTAATACCTACTACATTTGCTGAGGAAGACTTATTCATCCATGGTTTGTGTACTGTGGAGACTTTCCAGCTTAGGGCTTGAGCCGGCAAACATTTATTGCCAGCTGTAATAATCACTAAATGGGACTAGTTATGGTAGTGTGCGCTCTACCTTGTAGTAAGTATTTGCAGGATTTGGCATTAAAAGAAAAAGGTACAGTGAGACCCATAAGATAGTGTTCACCTCACATATGAACCTCTTAAAAAATATTAGGGTTGTAATAGGATATTATTGGTGTTGGTTAGTGTTTGTGGGTCCTGTAATGGAAGTGGAATTTTAAGATGTATTTGAATGGAGATAATGGAATTGGGAGTATGTTCTAGGCATGGGATGCAGCATAGTTCACTTCTGAGACTAAAGTTTCTGTGCAAGACCTTCTTAGCAGTTGTGTTAGCCTATCATGCCTCTTTTCTACCTCAGATACTTAGCATATCAGACCTGGAAGCAACTACTTAGTTTTTTGCCATTTTGAAAATGCCAAAGTACAAGTAAACATAATCATCTTCTTTTCCCTCCCCCACCCAACTACAGTTGCTTATTTAAAGTTTTATTCATGTCTAGTTGTATTGCAAAAAAAAAAAAGCAAAGTATCTTCTTCTTTTTTATCATAATTGGTTCTTATAACTTATAGAATTGTTAAATTTCTCTAGCAAAAAGGTTTTGTGTACAATCAAAACCAAACAAGTGCTTATGGGGTGAATATGTTAAGTCTCCAGTCCTGCAAGCACTTACGCATGTGCTTAACTGTAAGCGTAAGACTGTGTGTGTAAGTGTTCGCAGGATCAGGGCCTTAATTTATAGAAGGCATACAGTTAAAGTGTTGATATTGTGACTTACTCGAAACAGGCAGACCCTTGCACTCACACAGAGCCCCTTTGAAGTCAGTGAGGCGCTAATGTCTATTTGTGAAGGATCAGGGTCAAATAAATATACACTTAACTGAAGAAATACAAAAAAAGTATATCTTTTTAAAACTGTGTTGAGTAATAGAATAAAGCATTACTATAAAAACCTTAGTCTATGCTGTTTCTCATTTATTTTCTTAAGATAGCAACTATATAATGGCACAGAATATGTATCTGATTACTTCTGAAGTTAGTATTTTTAATGCATTCATTTGTGGTGGAACAAATGCTTAATTCTGTCATGTGTTTGTAGATTATATTTGCTGTGTACAACAACCTTGTTTAAAATTTAAACCAAAATGGTGCCACATCTTCTAATTTTTGTTGTTGCAAATCAGGATTTTCAAAATATAAAGAAAAGTCAAATCTGAAACTTTAGTAAGAAGTTCAATTTCTTTTGTCCAACATAAGTTTCAGTGTGTAAAGTTAGGCAGCATTAGCTTAAATACAGCACACATTAGCTAAACATTAAATATACAGCCCATAGATTTGTTATATTTACACTCTAGTCTATTGTTTCTACATTCAGTGTATGTTTGTTCAATTTTTTTTAACTGGAGGGAGAGTGATTCACAAAGGGAAGCTGAGAAGCCCATGCTATGAACAAGGTGGCATTCCTTCAGTAAAGAGCTACTCTTGACTGGCATATTTTTTTAGTATTATGTGCTTTATTTTTCTTGGATAACTTTCTCAGTGTTAGTGAAATGCTACAGGGCAATATTAAGACAGAAAGGAAAAAAACTAACTAGTTTTCAGACTCCTCAGTTCTTTCTAAACAATTTTATTTTACTAAGTGTGTTGTTTCATGTCACTGTTGAAATGTAGGAAACACGGGGGGCTGGGCTTCTGGGTGCAAGAGACTGGCAAAGTCATCACACACATTGGAACTCAGCTTCTGATTCCAGCATGTATCTCATCAGAATCATCTACTGAGCATGCCTGACCTATTTTATAGCTTCTCCTTACCTGAGCTCTGATGGCTCAGTTCTCAAATTTTGAATATTTATGACTCCACATACCGGGGGAATTTGATCATGGAAATACTGATCCACCCAATGACTACCAGCCCTTAACTTCTGGATGGTTCTGGGCACTTCAGGTAAATGGTCTTACTGTGTCTTACTGCATGTGTACACAGACAGAGATACAAACAAACACAGTTAATTTCTCAGCGACCTCCCTTTGTCTCT